ATGCCCCCCGGGCCGCCGCCCCCCGCGCTCGGGCGCCGCCGCCCACAGCTGTTCCCGCCGGCCGCCACTCACCTCTGTCACAACCGCACCATCGCCCCGACCGCTCCCGGCTCCGAGCCCTGCCTCATCCGGGGACTGCGGAGGGCGGGGCCGCGCGGTGACAACAAGCCGCGGGGCGGGGCCTCCGCCGCGACGTCACAGGGACGGGGGGCGTCAGGCCGCCGACCGTCACCCATGGGGAGGAGCCCCTGCTTTGGCAATGGGTCCTTGTGCTGCCTCTTCCTGCGCGCCCAGGCCCGCTGGCTGCCCCGGCTCCTTCATCCGCAGCTGCTGTATGAGGCACTTCGGGCAGGAGGGGTCGGGTTGGGACGAGACTTTCTTGTCTCTCTCCTAGGGCTTTCTCCAGAGACGCAGTCAGCCCCCCCCCCCCGGCGGGAAGGGCTGCGCAGGCGCCTTGACACTGCCTCGGGTTCCTTATGCGCCTTCTGGCGTGGGGCGGGAGAAACGAGCACTGTGTGTGTCTGGTTCCACTGCTCTTCCGGCGCGGTTTAGTACGCGCCGAGGGGTTGGGGTTAAAGCCCGCTACTCCCTAGCTTGCTCCTGCGGCCGTGTGGCTGAGGGCAGGCGAAACTCGGGGGCATCCAAACCCCAGGCCTCTGGGCTTGGGCCTGCACGTAGGACACCTGCGAACAGACTTTGGAAATGTCTGAAGCCCCTGGTGGGGATGGAGGATGTTTGCTGGTTGTAGGGACACATAGTTCTGGACCGACTCATGGATTTGGACTAGATTTGGCTTGGAAAATATTCTTTTAAAAAAAAAAAAGTCCTGCAGCCCTCACTGAGACCTCCAATGTGTCCACCTGGGCAAGAGGATGGAGGCTGCCCCAGACCAACCATCCCCCTTCAGACCATTGAGACAGAGTCTGAAGGCCAGACTGCGTCCAGACAATCAGTGTCTCAATGGTTGTAGCTGCTGCCAGAGGGAGACAGGTTAGAGCCACCAACTGCCTCAGCCCTCAGCGAGGGTGCGTTTTGTCAGGGTGATGTCCCATAGCCTTACTCCAACCCAGGAGCAAGGGCCAGGTTTTGAGGCGCCCTATACTCACCTTACTCTGGAGGTTGCAACGCTGGTATTTTGTAGGAGCCGTCCCACCATATTGCTATCAAACCCTCCACTCGGATGCAGTTTATGGTCATACCCAGGACCGTGTTATAGAAGTAGGAGGTAGTTAACATGCCAGGTCTCTGCATCTTTGACGGATTAGGGTTTGGTGAAAACTCGGTAGACAGGTTCGAATTTCAGGAGGGCTGAGCCCCCCCACCCCATAAGAGATGAGCCCCTTGTAAGTTTTGAAAATCATAACCTGGGGGGGTTCTAATTTTATTAGGGTATTGTGAGGGGCAGCCCAGTTTTTTTTGCAGTCCCTCCCCCCTCCCAAGAGTCAAAGTGTAATTCAAACCCTGTCAGTCGGACTGCTGCCACTTTTAGCAGCAAGGTAGGAGACCAGGTGCTGGAGTGTTTTTCTGAGGCATGCAGAAGTTCACTAACCCTCACCCTACAATTAGTAGGACTTGCAGACATTAGCAATGTCCATAGCTGGAGAACAGGCTCATGGCCAGGGAGGAGGAAGGAAAACCAAGTGATCAGCACCAGAAGGAGTAGAACCAGAGCGCAGCCTCTGCTAACTGTTGCTCCAGAGTGATCTGGTCTTCGCTCACTGTTTGCTCCTGAGATAGCAAAGCAATACTAGGTGCTTTACAGCTAATGCAGTGACTACACCCAGGTGGAGAAACAGTGTACTCAGCAAACACTTGCACACAGTTGCAACCAGCAGGGTATTTACTGAATAAGGAAGCTGGCCATGATACCAAAGTAGGGTGACCACCCATCCCTAATGGAGCAGGACAGTCCCAGAATGGGAACATCAGGTCCTGATCCTGGGCTGCATGACTCTGGGACAGCATTTGTCCTGGATTCGCAGTGTCATCCAGGGATCCGGGATTTCCATTCACTGAGGAAAACTGTAGGAAATAGGCTGCTGGGGGTTGGATGTAGAGGGCGCCACGTGCATGTGTGTGCCTGCACACATGCACATGGCCAGGAATACAGCCAGGCAGTGTAGAGAGCAGCTACCTGCAGGTAACACTATGGGAGGGGGGCATAGGGAGGTAGGGGATAACAGACTGAGGCCCCCACGATGAGGGAAGGAATGGGACAGGGGTTGGGGGCACTGCCCAGCCAGGGCAGTGTCCGAGGCTGAGGCCTGGAGCAAGACAGAGCCACAGGTGGCTTGTCCAGGGGGGGCAGCTCTCTGCCACTGCACACACTCCCAGGGAGTGCCCCCCCCAGATTTGTGCATGGGGCAAGGGCAGATGTAGGCTGCCCACTGCATGCTCTGCTCCAGCCATACTGCTGCCAGAGGTGTGGGGTCTGAGGAAGAGGCAGGCATGTGTCCCTCCCACCTTTCCATTTTGAAAAAGTGGTCACCTTATACCAAAGAAGATGGTGATGAATGAGGTATGTGTTGAAGGGTTGCAGAGCCAGGCTGTGATCTGACTTCTCCGACTTTGGAACATAGTACTTCAGCAACTTAAAGTGACCAGCATACAGTTACAAAGAACACATAGCAATCTTAGTACAGGAACTCACCTGCTGTGGTCAGTACAATCATTTTGCGGCTGCCCCAGAAGAAGAATTTGACAATTTTGAAAATGTTGCTATGAATATATGCAAAGCCATTTCCGAAAAATATCAAAGTGAGCTGTGCTGTACTCGAGAGTAAAGAATGTGCAGATAAATCAGGACAACCTGAGACCTTACTGCAAGGAAGACAACATGTTTTTGTTTGGAAACATTCAGTCTTTTAATTAACAATCTGCTAACTTGTCTTTGCAAATAAGACAAGTAATAATGATGCTTATAAGATGCTGACTGACACTTTTGGAGTTTTGTTTGAACTCAGCCCATTGCACATCCCTGGCATTCACAAGTATACTGCTGCATTTGCTGCACTTTACCCACAAAACTTGAACTTTGAAAGTTTTCATAATGAATCTCCAACCAAGCTGCTAGAAGATCTAAGACAGAGAGGCCTTCAATCAGTATTCCCTAATGTGGACATCACTGCAGAGATTTTTCTAACACTGCCTATCACAAACTGAAAGAAAGCATACATTCTCGAATGTGGCTAGGATAAAAAATGAGCTTAAATCAAGAATGCAACAGAGATAACTAAATGCTTTATATCTTAGAGCAAATGAACCGCAACATCTGATGACAACTGGACTTTAATAACATAATACAAGAGCTTTTCAACCTAATTTTTTTTAAAGTCATTTGAAATATGATAAATGTAGCACTTTCTTATTTGTATGCCTTTTTCATACTTGGTTACATAGTTAATATCGGAAAAATTGTTATGAGTGGTGGTCAGGACAGTCATCTCCAGTTGCCATGCTCTTTGGATCCAAAATCCTAAGAATTCTTAATCCAGCCCTGCAATTATGACGCTTAGCCCTTCTAAAGCTAGGCTTTCATCCTCCTCCCCAGTACTCTGTTATGTTCTCATAGTTGTTCTAAGCCACAGCTGGATCCCCGTATTGTTCTGTATCCCCTCAGCTTTTGTATTCTTGTGTGGGGTTTCCTTCTGTTCTGACCCTTTTTGGTAACATTTTCCCTGCTGATGTTATGCTGCAGAGTGGAGGAGATGCTTGTCCTTGCTGTGGAAGCAAAAGTGTACACCGAAGAGCGCTCTCTCTTGGTAAAGTACTTCAGGTACAGTAGAGGAGGATGGGCTGCCTGAGTATAGAACTGCAAAGGACAGTAGTTGGGTTGCACAGAGATGTGATGGTGGGGCCAAAATAGGGTGGTGTGATTGCTAACACATGACAGCAGCTGATTGATTGCTCAGTAAATGTAATGAAAAAAGAACCATTTTCCAGCATTAATTCAACTCAGTGTTTTTTCTGAGAGTTCAAGATTCAGCTGCTTTATGTAAATGGAAGCAAAAGACAGGAAATGTGGTTAAAGACAGGAAGCAAAGCAGCTGATAGCTGCCTACAATCACATCCTGTCTACTGTCTCACTTGAAATGTTGTGAAAGGCACATTGTGCATCTTGGATGTCCTTTACTAGGAAAACTAGTAGGGGTGTGCGAAGTGGGCCCCATTTGATTCAGATTTGGCCCACATCAGGGACAGTGATTTGATTCATTGATTCAGATCACTTTCCCAATTTGATTCAATTGAATCTGAAGATTTGATGCTGATTCAGAGAATCAGCAATTCAGCCATAGACACAGCTTTAAAAGTTCTTTCTACATACCTTGAGGTACCAGCACAGCTTGTGAATGCTGCGGTGCTGGGGTGGATGGAGCATCCCACAGGAGTGCGGGGTGGCCCTCCACATGCTCGGTGGCAAATCCAAAAGTGGACTGGAAGTATTTCCGGTCCACTTCCGGGTCTGCAGGGGGGCATGGCCCCCCCATGCTCCCCCACGCTCCCCCGGCTCTGCGACTGGTGCCCCAGCCCACAGCTGCAGCCCCCCCCTGCACAGATCCAGGGAACACCTCCCCCCATGCCCTCCCAGGGTGTATGCGACAGCAGGAGCTGCTCCGTGCCCCCCAGACAAGCCACAGCTTTGTCCTGCACCCTGCCCTGGCTAGGCAGCACCAGCCCCTGCCCCACTCCCTCTCTCACCACAGGGGCTATTGATCTGCCTTCCCCACACCCCTTCCCTCCCCATCCACCACAACAGACTTACCAGCAGCTGTATCAGAAATCGGATCAGTATCGGCTAATATGCCTCCTTGAAAATCAACTTTCAATATCAACCCCCAAAATCTCTATCACTGCATCCCTACCAAAAACATTCTGATGTGTGGTCTTGCAGAGTTCTTTGCAACAGAAGAACTGTTCCATTATTTTTCTTTAGTCAAAACACTAAGAGCTGCCATTTTCTAAGGGGTGCCTTGAGTCTAAAGAGGTTGAGAACCACTATAAGAGAAGCTTTTGTAAAATAAAACAGAGTAAAACTGGTGGGTCAGATTGTATCCTTAACTGATGCAAATTGGCATAATTCTATTGACTTCAATAGAGCCACATCTCTACTGAAATGCATTTTTTTTGCCTTGCTCAGATGTTAAATGGGTTAACTAATTGGTGTTTTTACA